TCTCTCATTGACAAAGGATCTCACCTTGAAATCCAAGCAGGTCTATACCTCACTGTATAGTTGAGACAGGTTTTAAAACTCACAGTAAGGGGAACAGGGGTTGTCTCTGACATGAACTCAATGGCTGGCTCTTTGATCACTTACGCCTGATGGAGGAGCAGCCTTACCAGGCCACAGAGGAAGAAAATCCAGCCAGTTCTGATGAGACCAGATAGGCTAGGGTCAGATGGAAGAGAAGGAGGACCTCCCCTATCAATGGACTGGAAAAGGAGAATGGAAAGAGATAAGGGAGGGAAGGTGGGATTTGGAGGGAATGAGGGAGGGGGCTACAGCTGGGATACAAAGTGAATAAATTGCAATTAATAAAAAAAAAACATAAGTGTCCAAGTGGGTTCCATAGTAATGGGAAGAGGGACTGCCTCTGACATAAACTGACTGGCCTGATCTTTGATCACCTCCCCCTTAGAGGGGAGCAGCCTTACCAGGCCACAGAAGATGACAATGCAGCCACTCCTGATGAGGTCTGATAGACTAAGATCAGAAGGAAGGAGAGGAGGATCTTCCCTATCAGTGGACTTGGGGAGGAGCATGCGTGAAGAAGAGGGAAGGAAGGTGGGATTGGGAGGGGTGGAGGGAAGGGTTTATGGGGATATACAAAGTGAATAAAGTGTAACTGATGAAAGTTAAAAAAATGTTTAAAGTAAAATAAAATAAAATAAAAAATAAAAACCTCACAGCAAGCTCCCTGTCGCAGCCTCCCCCATGCTATTCGGGATTACAGGTGTGAGCCACCATGTCCAGTTCAGCTATAGTGCTGTCCATCTACTGAGGTGTCTTCAGACCCTTCTTATTTAGAACATATACTTCATTCTGATAAGTAAATGCTACCTCTTAAACATTCTTTTTTTTTTTTTTTTTTTTTTTTTGCTGGAGCAAGAGAGTATGGCTAAGGTTTCAACTCAAAGTTGTATTTTAGATAGAATTTATGTTCTACGGATAGCTTTTAGTCTATTCATTATGGATAGAAGCAATTACTCATTTCACTTAGTAGCAAAGAGTTCACATTAGACTGTAATTGTTCTCAAGAAAGGTAATTTTCCCTCTTGTTTTGTCTTACTTTTGGAAATAATTTGTTGGAAAGAGCACTACATGAAATTGAAGAAATATGTGAAATTAACTAAAAGAAAAAGAAAACAGCATATTATTTGCATTAATTTTTATGTACAAAGCAGGTTTTATCTATGATGCTACATGTTTACTCTGTGATTTATTAGTTTTATATGACCTAGTTACACAGTTGTTTCTGCTTCTGTTCTAAAAACTGTTTAAATGAAAACTTTGAAATTCTACATTATCTCAAGGATTAAAGACAAATACATCAACCTTGTACAAAACAGCAATAGAACATACATTTGCTGTATCACTTTCTTTTTTATGTGCAGTACCATATCTGAGGATAAGGTCTAGTGACTTGAGGATTTCCAATGTCAAATACAAAAAAACACAGTGATAGGCTTTAAAACACAACCAGCATGGAGAGTGTATATATATAATACACACACAGACAAACATGTGTGTGTTAATGCCATATTTAAAGTTTTGAATTGTATGAGTTTCTTTATCTCTTTGCAATCTCCTTAACCACATTAAAATGAAGTTCAATCACAATCAAATTTTCAAGTTCTGCTACACATATCAACCATTCCAAAAGGTAAAGAAACACAAGCAAATCCACATAATCTCTGTGATCTGGATAAAATTCCAAGTCTCTCCCCTTTTAGGAACACATTTCTTGAAAAAGAAATTACTGGGGTAACACGTGACACTATTACAGAGGTTGCTTCTATTACCCTGGCTGTAGGTATCAAATTGGTGAATCTTCTTACGTGACGTCGCAGTCTGCGGGAGAAAGATTGATCTGAGGGGACCGGGTCCATGACTGTATGACTTTGCCTTAAAGGAGTAACAGATAAATATGAACTGTGAAGTGAGGGGTACGGTGTGACACTGAATTATTTTAGCTAACCACCTTAACTGAATACTATTCGCTTAAGCAGAGTGAACTATTTAGACACACTGCGCTCATTAACCGGCCCCTAATTTCACTAATGAAATCCCACGTTTCCATTCACTATGCTAATGCTGAAAATGTGGATAATGTAAGCACACAAAGCCGCTACCCTGAAGCCTGGCCTCTTAGAATGCATGCTAGCGCTCACCCCTGGGGTGCAAAATCCTGATTACAGCCAGTGACAGCCTTTCCTGCAGTGCGGCTTCCGCCTGCACAGATATTTATAACATACCGTGATGATGTATTTTAAAATAAATCACACACACCATGTTATTATCTTTTCTTGAGGCAACAAGACCAACTATTTCCATCATCAAATATTTGACTTGACTAATTCTAAAAGCTATTAAAGTTATAAGACTCCCTAAATTTCAATAGTCAATAAATTTATTTTTTAATTTAGTGTAATGTTTTTTTTTTTTGACAAAACTGGTATATGTGCAATCCTTGAAGTGCTGCATTCCCTTGTCTTTTCAAGTCCTCTTTCATATTACAACTCTCTCTTTCTCTCTCTCTCTCTCTCACATACACACTTCTCTCAACCATCAATTTTCTAGATGTAATTTTTAAATATTTTAATTAAAATTTAAGGAGACCTTTCCTCAACTCTGTTCTTAGTATTTTCTATTTCTTTGTCCATTTAATGGCAAAATATCTGGAAGAAAAAAATTGCTTTCTTTCTTTCAAGTTCCTCATCATCTCATTCCTACAAGACTTCTACAGCCGATAATAAACTTCTTGATGAGCCCATTGGCAAAATGCTCCAATATTGGACGTAGTGTCCAGAATTCTTTCTTGATCTTTGGTTAATATAATATATGGGTAGATATACTAGTGTCTCCCACATTGCTTGATAAACATTGATAAACAAGATTTTTATGGAGACATATTCCCAACTGAGAGCTGATCCTGGGTGTGCCGAGTCAACAGAGTCCACAACAAGAACAACCCAAGAACTAGCCAGTGGAGCAGCCACTTTGCTCCTCTGGAATCCTTTTCTTTCAGGTTCAACCTCTGTTGAATTTTCTGCTTCCTTGAAGGCCATTCACTCCCATTTTCTTCTGAATTGTTTCCCATCTGGAGTGCTTTGAGCCTGGTCCTGGACAACTTTTCCTTGCCTGAACATACTACTGCAACAGACATGTAGTGTCAGGTTTTAGGAAATATGTAAAATATATTATTATTTCTGGATTTCTGTGAACTGCTATCAGTAGCTCCATTTAGATGCCTAGTGTAGGTTTAACCTAAAATATACAAAGCAGAACAGAAGCCTTCCTGTATGTTAAATAAGGACTGAACTACGGACACAAACCTTCAGCCTTAGCATTCTTTATTTTGTGGCACTGATTCTTTATTCCAGTAATAGCTGTACTGACTCATTATTGAATCTACCTCACCTCTGGAGTAATTATACTCTAAACTTAAAGTTAAATCTCACCTTTGCTTGAGTCTGCCTTATTGAAAAAAAATGCCTGGTTGTGAGAGCCCAGTGAATAATTACAGACTATCAAATTTTAATAGAAAAGAGTGGAGAGATGCATTTATTTGAAACTTTAATTTATCACACACAATATCAATGGCAACTTTCATGTTCTGTTTTTGTTTTTCCTTTTTATTTATTACAATTTTTTCACTTTGTATCCCAGCTGTTGCCTCCTCTCTCATCCCCTCCCAATCCCCATCCTCCTTCCCTCCCTCAGTCCACTGATAGGGGAGGTCCTCCTCCCTGTCCATCTAATCCTAGCCTATCGGGTCTCATTAGCACTCTACTGATCAGGGTATCAGAGCAGATGCTGAGACTCATAGCCAAACTTTGGGCAGAGTGCAAGGAATCTTATGAAAGAAGGGGGAGATAGAAAGACCTGGAGGGGACAGGAGCTCCACAGGAGAGCAACAGAACCTTCATGTTCTTAAATCAAAGGATTTGAAGTAAGAAGTTGTCATGTAACATTGTGGCTAACAGTTGAATCAACTTTCTTGGAGATGTTTTGAAATGTATTGACCATTGTATATGAATGAGGAAGTATCTTTCTAGAAAGATCTACAGTCCTTTCATTATAGGTTCAAGAATGTTGGAGCTGGAATTTGAGGTAAATCTATGTCTAGTTTCCTGAGGAACTAGCACACTGATACCATAGTTTTTTTTTTTTTTTTTTTTAATTCAGGGTTGTCTTAATGATACTGGTATTTTGGTGTTTCCCTATGATTTTGAAGATTTTTTTTTTTCTTTCAATTTCTGTGAAGAGTTATGTTGGAATTTTGGTGGGGACTGCACTAAATCTGTAAATTGCTTTTCTTAGGATGGCCTTTTTCACAATGTTAATTCTACCGATCCACAAACATTGAACATCTTTTCATTTTTTGATGTCGTCTTTATTTCTTCTCCAAGGCAAATGACTACATTTGTCTTCTTAAAGACAAATGACTACAATTTTGCTTATTCTTGATCTTTTTATCATGATCCAAAAACCTAGAGAAAAAGTAGTTTTCAGGTGAATTGAGTTAAACTGCCTTGTGTTGTGGCATTACAATTTTGAACTTTAGTCATCTGTTGCAGTTTTATCCACTTATTAAATCTGATAAAAATTTAAAAAGGAGGGAATGCCATAAGTTGACTTAAGTGTTTATACATCACCCATCTAAACATTTTAAAAGCAAAGTTAGTGAACAACTCCATGACAATCTAGTTTTCATATCTCACAATCCTTGTTTTGGAATGTAATGCATACTGTAAAAACAAAGCCTCACAGAACAAGCACAGAAGAATTTGTTACATAAACCTTAACACAAACCAGACAGAGACTGCTGTCAGATTGGCACTAAGTGGCTTTTCACAGTCTATCAACTAATGACAATCGTCGATGGCTTGTCACGCAAATATGGTTTACTAAGTTTGGAAGTTTCATTTGCTTGCATGTCCTGTTGTCAGGTTGCCCCAGAGATGGCCGACATTATGAAGAAGGATCAGTGTTTAAGGAAAACTGCAACTCCTGGTAAGTAATGTAAGCAACACAGAACAGAGCTCTTTTCCCTGATTATTTCTTCAGGAATGAGAAAATCTTGTGATTAAAGTGTACATCTAAACACATGTAGGCAAAAATCACATTTCCTAGACATAGTTTTTCAGAAGCATGAAAACAATTTTGGAAATGTAATTTTGTATGTATTCGATGCAAGCTCTAAAATTGTTGTCTTTATATAGTAAGTTTTCTCCATATAGCAAGTACTCATTAAGCGTGTTGTTAATTATGAGTGTTTTTGATAAGCTGTTACCAAATTGTGTTTTTTGAGCACAGTAAGTATACATGAAAACAGGCTGGCTAGATTGGATTAGCCTGCAGAAAAATTTCAAATATAAATATATCAAATCTATATTTTAATTTGTTGCTTAAACTTCTGTGAATATATGATTATGTCATATATAGCCACTTCAGAAGATAAGAACACATCGACTAGCACCTCATGAAGCTTTTATGATTTATTTTCTCCAACAATCAAATAGCCACATGGCTAACATTAATCAAGAAATTGTTCTATGACTTACTTAACAATGTACTATCTTACATCTATTTTGGAAATAGATTCTGTAAAGGCCAAAGGACTTTGTAATTTTTTATCTTTACAGTACATGTTCAGGACAGCAGTGGAAATGTTCTCAGAATGTGTGCCTTGTTCATCCAGAATTAATTGACCACATCAATAAAGGGGACTTTGGGTAAGCACATCTTTTAGATTAGGCCTCTTGGCATTCCCACTTAAAACACATACTGTGTGTCATTTACCTCTAACATGGTCATTCATTATAAACTATGATTTTGAAAAATATGAAGGGAGATTTTTAGAAACACGAGCATTTCTGATGTACATGGTAAACATTAAATGGTTAAAATAAAAGCAGAGATATTCTTGTGCGGCTCCTATCCTTTCCCCATCATACTAACTCCCCTTCTGCCGAAGGTTTGGTTATGAGTCTTAGTATCTATTTTGAAATGCTGCTTGGTAGGGTCTTTCAGATGCCTTCTGTGGTAGACTCATATCTGGGCACAGGGTTTTTTTCTGAAACTGTTTCTCCAACCAAGGACCATGTATGGATATAATCTAGAACCTTTACTCGGATGAAGCTCATGGTAGCTCAATAACCAATTGGTTTCCAATAGTAAGGGGAACAGGGACTATCTCTGACAGGAACGCAATGGCAGGCTCTTTGACCTCCCCACCCCGCAAGGGAGGAGCAGTCCTGCTAGGTCACAAAGGAGGACTTTGCATCCAGCCCTGAAGATACCTGATAAAACAGGGCCAGACGAAAGGGGAGGAGGTCCTCCCCAATCTGTGGACTTGGAAAGGGGCAGGGAGAAGCTGAGGAAGTGAGGGTGGGATTGGGAGGGAATAAGGGAGCGGGATACAGCTGGGATACAGAGTTAACAAAATGTAACTAATAATAATAAACAATACAAAAATCTTCCCATGAAAAAAAAGCAGAGATGTTAGCCTTACCATAACTAGAAAAGATTGGTGTTGTTGTGTGGTGAGAAGGTGAAAGAACATTCCCTTGCATACATGATAGGTCAAATCAAAAAGCTGAACAGACTGATTCATTCTATTTGTTTCTTCCTGTTGTTGCCTTCACCAAGCCAAACCTTCACTCAGCTCTCTTAGGTAGACTATGAACTCAGATGGTGTTCTATCTTGACAACACCCTGATAATGCACTGATCTATATTTTCATGGACATGACTGACATTTAACAAATTTTACTTATATTGACAGCAAAAGACATGTGGAGATAATCTATGTTGCTAGCAATTTTAAGATATAAGGATGATCAAGAAACTCTAGGAATAGTGCTTCTTCAAGACCCAGCTATACCACTGCTAGGTATATACCCAAAATTGGCTCAAGTACACAACAAGGACATTTGCTCAACCATGTTTGTAGCAGCTTTATTTGTAATAGTCAGAACCTGGAAACAACCCAGATGTCCATCAACGGAGGAATGGATACAGAAATTGTGGTACTTTTACGCAATGGAATACTACTCAGCAATTAAAAAAGATGAAATCATGAAATTTGCAGGCAAATGGTGGGATCTAGAAAGGATCATTCTGAGTGAAGTATCCCAGAAGGAGAAAGACAAACATGGTATATACTTGCTTATATAGAGCTACAAGATATGATAAACATAATGAAATCTGTACACCTAAAGAAGATAATCAAGAAAGCAGACACAGGGTAAAATGATCAATCCTCACTTAGAAAGACAAATGGGATGTGCATTGAATGTATGACAGGAGTCTACCACAGAAGGCATCTGAAAGACTCTACCTAGCAGTGCTTCAAAGCAGATACTAAGACTCATAACCAAACCTTTGGCAGAGTACAGGGAATCATATGAAAGAAGGGGAGTTAGTATGACATGGAAAGGATAGGAGCTCCACAAGAACCAAATATATCTGGGCACAGGTCTTTTCTGAGACTGACACTCAACCAAGGACCATGTATGGATATAACCTAGAACCTCTGCTCAGATGTAGCCTGTGGTAGCTCAGTAACCTATTGGTTTCCCACAGTAAGGGGAACAAGGACTATTTCTGACAAGAACTCAATGGCAGGCTTTTTGATCTCCCCACCCCCCAAGGGAGGAGAGGTCCTGTTAGGCCACAGAGGAGGACTTTGCAGCCAGTCCTGAAGATACCTGAGAAAACAGTGTCAGATCAAAGGGGAGGAGGTCCTCCCCAATCAGTGGACTTGGAAAGGGGCAGGGAGGAGATGAGGGAGGAAGGGTGGGTTTGGGAGGGAATGAGGGAGCGGGATACAGCTGGGATACAGAGTTAACAAAATGTAATTAAAAAAAAAAGAAAGAAAAAAACACTGAGAATAATCATTGATCAGCAGAACACTATTAAATTTGGTTACTTCTCCACTTACATACAGGCATATAAGATGTAGGCACTCACTTTTATTTTCTTTACAGAACCATATTAAAAAAGGAATGACCTGGCTAATCTATGCCTTAAATTTTCTCCAATGACACTTACCAGTCTATATGTCATTGATAACATATTGACATTCTTCAAAATACCTAACATAAAAAGACCATGTTGAAGCAACTAGAAAAATGGAGTGATTTTTCAGACATATTTTAAAAGACGTTTTGAAATTACATTTTAAAAATTGTGTGTCTGTGGAGGAATGTGGGAAGAGAATGGTTCTTGTATGATGCTCATGCCATGGCTCATATGTGAGGTCAAAGCAAACTTGTGGACACCTGGGATTGAACTCCATCAGACTTGGTAGTAAGTGTCATTACCTCCCAACTTATCTCAAAGGCCCTTGTGATACCTTTTATTAATAGAAGTAGTATTTCTTTCTGGTATAAATTTTGTGTCTCTCAGGACAGTGGAAACAATGAATTTCAATGCACCTAGACCATTTTCTTGGAAGACAAAAAAAAATCACGTATTTTGACATTAGTATTCTGAAGTAATTCTTAAGTTCTCTGTGTGAAGTGTTTGTTTAACCAGTATTTCCGGTGATAGCTTGATGACATTTAAGTTTTTCTAAGGAAACCAATTATGGTGCCTAAATTATATCCAAATCATTGAAAAGACATAACAAACACAAAAGTATGTATTATCTTGATAAATGACCCTGGTCAGGTTTCTCAAAGGATTTAAATGCTGAACCTATGCAGCACAAATTACTAAGAAATCGTAAGAAAATAGTCCACTTTTCTACTGTTACAGCATGCATAGAACCACTCCTAAGCAGGCATTATTAATAGCATTGTTTCCACAAATCTTCATGCATGCTAAGCTCAGATCTGCATTTATTGTACATAATATACCGTAGTGAATATTTATCTACTATCTATGTATCTTTGTATCTGTCTATTTGTTTATCTATCTACTTATCCCAGCATTTTGCTGCATAGTCAGAGCTGATCTCAAAGTCAAGACAATCTTTCTTGTTCACCCTCCCAAGCTCTGGTATTGTAGGCACAAGTCACTATGTCCTACTTGTTTGTGTTATTTTTTTATGGCAATAATTAATGAAAAATTTCTTTCTTTTATGGAATTGCTGAAAATACAAATAAATATATTATGCCTTAAACTAATTCACCCTCTACTTCAAGAGCCAACATACGGTACTATTATGGAAGGCCAGAACATAAAGGCAATTTAAAATTGCACAAATAATTCTCAGTGAGTTATCAGAAAGAAGGGAGATCCACATCTGTTATATTTATCTAAAACTGTGAAACAAACATGAAGACTCAACACTCTAAAGCTATAAACTCAACCAGGGTTGATGGCTCAGTTCTGCAGTCCCAGTAATTGAAAGGCTGAGGAACGACGATTCAATGTTTGAGGTTAGTTTGAGCATGACATAGCCTATCTGGATTACAGAGTGAGACTTGGCCTGAAAAACTAAACTAAACTAATAATACAATACAACACAACACAACACAACACAACACAACACATTCTCTAAATTTACTCATGCCAACAATTTGGAATGGATTCAGGTGAGGCTTTTTGTTTGTTTGTTTTGACTTTTAAAAATTTTATTAGTTCTTTGAAAGTTTCCTAAATATTTTGATATTAACTTTTCCTCCCCCTAACAAATTTCAAGTGTTCGTGGCTATGTTGTCTTCTACTGGAGAGTGATGCAGTCTCTCCCTCTTCTAAACACCTACCAATCACCAATAACTCCATAGTAGAGGATCAGACTGTGTGTCCAGCTCCTCTCTCCTTACTGGGATTTGGTCTGGCTTGGGCTTGCATGTGTTTTATTCATGCTGTAAAAATTCTGTGAATTAATGTGTGAAGCTGCCCTCCTGTTCTTACAAGATAATATTTCTTTGTAGGTATCTACTGTCTCAGGCTGTTACAGTCTTTCCCATCTGCAATAATCTCTATACATGTTCCCTTTAGTGTTAAGCTTTTAGTATATATATATATATATATATATATATATATATATATATATATATATATATATACTAAATTTGCTACTAAGTCCATTTAGCCAAATTTCTAGCAGTTTCTCCCCTAGGGTTTATGATCTGTTTAGTCATAGGTTCTTAGTCTGACCATGATGCTAGGCATGGCTTCATCCTGTGGAATGCTGCTTAGATCTCATCAGAAAGCAAATGGCTTTTCCCATGACATTTGTGCCACAATTGTACCAGTCATTAGTGCAGTTCAAAGGATAAGTAGCTGAGTATTAGTGAAAACTTTTGTCCTCTGGTAGTAATGCATAGCACCTTCTAGCACTATGTAAGCTAGCCAGTAGAGATGAAGCTTTCAGGACTGTATCAGATCGATTTTACTGTCTTCTGCGTGTCAAGCCTGTGGTATTTTCAGCAATAAGGTCTTAGTGCTAAGTTCTGGAGCAATGGCAACAGCCTGTGATATTTGGGAGTCTACCAGAACTCATTGGCCAACAACTCCAAATGAAGTAAGTCAAATACGGTACAGAGTTTTTTTTTATTTGTTAGCTTCTGGTTGGTATTAAGTAAAGGTGTTGTTTGCTTCTTGTTTAGGTCCTCAATTTCTAGGCTGAATTTTTTCTTGGTGTTTTAATTTTTTTTTCTCCAAGTTACATATTCTTTCACTCACTTTGACGACTTTCTTTTTATTTATTTTTTAATTTTTTAAAATTAAATACAGTTTATTTCCTTTGTATCCCAGCTGTGGCCCCCTCTTTCATTCCCTCCCAATCCCATCCTCCCTCCCTTATGGCCTCCCTTGCCCCTCCCTAAGTCCACTGATAGGGGGGGTCCTCGTCCCTTTCCCTCTGATCCTAGCCTATCAGGCCTCATCAGGTCTGGCTGCATTGTCTTCCTCTGTGGCCTGGTAAGGCTCCTCCCAACTCAGGAAGAGGTGATCAAAGAGCCAGCCACTGAGTTCATGTCAAAGACAGTCCCTGTTCCTCTTACTAGGGAACTCATTTGGAGACTGAGCTGTCATGGGCTACATCTGAATAGGGGTTCTATGTTATCTCCATGAGTAGTCCTTTGTTGGAGTATCAGTTTCAGAAAACACCCCTGAGCCCAGATATTTTGGTTCTGTTACTCTCCTTGTGGAGACAGACTCTTTCTTGTCTTGATTTTATACATTTTTTTCTTTGTATGTACACATCTTGAAATAAATGTCTCACCTCTTTGATTGCTCTTTTGGTCATGAAACCTTAGAAAAAGTAGAACTCTGAAATTCTTCTCTGCTGTTTATGCTAGCTTGCCATCTTTGTTCTCCAGTACTAGTAAGCATTTAACTGTTAGTATGTCATGGTGCAATGGTGTTTCATGTATTTTGTTTCTTTTTGTGTTTTGCACCTCTACTGGAGAAGGCATGTCCTCCAGCTGTAAGTTTTCACCTTCTCTTTTGCTTTTGTCTATTTTTTGTGAGTTCTCCTTATGTGCTAGATTCAAAACTATGGTAAAAACTTGGTGGTTTGAAATAGGCCTTGGTGACATCTTAGCTCCACTCATCAGGATACTTTGCAAAGGTCCATCCCAATCATCATCTGTACAGCCTCTCTATGGCATGGTGGATGCATTGATAATTTATGTCTTGATTTGCATCTGTGTGCTGTGATAAAACTCTGATCAAAAGCAACCTGAGGAGGAATGTGTTTACTTGGCTTATAGCTCACAGTTCATTATGGAGGAAAGCCAAGACAGGAACTCAAGGCAGAAATCTAAAGGCAGGAACTGAAGCAGAAACCATGAAGAATGCTGCCTTTTGGCTTTTTCTCAGGGTTAGTTACCATACATTTTCCAGGCCCACCTGGACCCTCCTGGATCAATTAACAATCAAGAAGATGTACCATACACTTATCCAATTCAGACAATTTTTTTTAGTTGCCTTTGTCTTTTCCTGAGTGGTTCAAACAAAGAACAAATCTATCCAAGACACTCCTTTCTTCCAGGTCTTAGCACACTTTAGCTGCTTTCTACACCATTTGTGGTCTGCAATGGAAACCATTTAGTGCTCTGAACTCTTTTCACATTTTTCCCTGAATCCTAGTGGATCTATTGCTCTGTCGTAATAGAGAGGGTGCGGTGGTGATGAGCTTTACAGATGTTTCAGCTTTAGGGTCCTTTATCCTTTCTCTGGAGCTGTGTCTGAGGTCTGTTCTGGCTTTGTCACTTGATGGTGGATCTGGGCAGGCTGAGTTCACTTTTGCACAGCTCTCAGCTCTTTCCTCAGTTTGGTTCTGTGGAGAAACAGTCGCTCCTTGATCATGTCGCTCCTTCAGGCAATGGCAGGGGTAGAATATCATGAGCACTGGAAATCTCTCCACTTCACATTTTCCCACACTCTTCCAATGTTTGCACGGAGGTTTCTATCCAATTTCCTCTTTAGTGGTTAAGTTCAGCCTGCTATTTGGGTTTCAAGCAGAGTCAACCAATTCTCCAAGTCCCGACAGGGCAGGTGCTAAAATCCTCGCAGGATTTTAGAAAATCTTCCTGGTAGGATCTAGTGTTTATCATTGCCATGGCTTCTTTGTGGGCAAGGGTCTAGCTAGTCTTAGTTCCGTGGTCTGTAGCTCTTTCCCTTATTTTCCCTATTTGTGGCTTCCTCAACTTTCTTTCACTTACCTGGTCTCACAGACAAAATTTCTGGACCACCATTTCCCCATAGTTGAACTCAAAGATGCCGCAGGCCTTGCAGAGCTTCTAGGGAAAGTGGCCTCTCCACATGCCTTCAGCCAGGAAGAAGGTGATCTCTTATCTTGTTTTTTAAAGATTTCTATATTTATTATGTGCATGAATGTTTTGCCTGTCTGGGTGTATGTGTCCATATCACATGTGTGCTGATGCCTGCAGAGGTCAGAAGAGGACGCTGCATCCCTGGGTTCTGGAGTTACAGAGGGTTATGGGCCACCATGTGGGTGCTGTGAAGTGAATCCTAGTCCTTTCCAAGAGCAGCAAATGCCCTTAAGCTCAGGTGTACAACCTTTCTTTACCATCTCACCGTGCATCCCTGGCTGGCCTAGAACTCACCCTATTGACCAGGCTGGCCTTGAACTCACAGAGCTGCCTGAGTGGTGTCATTAAAGGCAAAAGCCACCATTCCAGGATCTGTCCCCCTATCTCATTGTTTCAAATGGTTTTTCCTTTTTTTTAATTGGGTGCTGAGTCAGATGATACCTGGAGGTCTCTGACTTATTTGAAGACTACTAATGCAGGTTGCCTCCCTGTGCCCCATCACACTTTGAGTAAGTTCTGTTTGCCTTTGAAACAGCATGACCATGAATAAAACACATCCTGAGGTTTCCAGCTTGAAAGTTCTTAGGTGTTGCAGATTTTGTTTTAAAAATGTTACTGAAAATTGAGTTGAATTTCTAATGACTCAAAGGAACCTGTCACACCATAAGCAATTTTGGAAAGAATTGTCAGCAATGTAGATGGTTTGGATGATCAATACTTACATGCCTATCAAATGTCCAGTTTTCAGCCACTGGAGAACTCTCACCTCAAATTTCTGTATCACATTTTGAAAACAAGGCATTTTTTAAAAAGAAGCATAGAAAAAAAAAAAAGAAAGAAGCGTAGAAAAGTAAGTCTTTAGATAAACATGAATCTTAAGAGCTAATTTCACAAACTTAATATGTTTGCCAGTAACTATTAATGGTTAACTCTGGATACAAACTAGCTCCCTTACACAATTATTTTAATGTCTAACTAACAGTTGCTGATATACTATCTTAAAAATAATACAATGAAGATTGCCAAGCTGCTGCTCAATGTTCCTTGCATGTATGAGGCCCTAGGTTTAGTCTCCAACACTGAAAAAAAATATAACCAGCTAACTTTCAATTTTTCATGAGTAGTTCTTTTGAATAGAGAAACTTCAAGTATAAATTCTAAAGGCACAGATTGTCCTATTTAACCTGCGCGTACTTGTCTGTAGAGTCAAATTTCCTTCTAAAGAGCAATTAAGTGCATTTAAAGGAAACTGCATATATTAGTCTTATTATACTTAATCCTTTCATACAACGTAAAGTTCTCATAGTCATGGTTTTGACTTATAATTATGTGGCCTCACGTTTCTTATATCAGTCATAACTGAGATGGGCCAAATCCAAGACTAGTGTTTCATGTACTTGATTTTAGAATAATTAGTGCTGGATCAGAATGAAGACTATCCACTGTACTGTTATTTTCCACACTTTGAGATACTATCACTAGACACTATTCAGACCTAGAAACAATCATGTATTTATGAGAGTGATATCATGTAATCTTTACGTATTTTTCTGCTTCATTTGTAAGGTAGATGGACAGCGCAGAACTATAGCCAGTTCTGGGGAATGACTTTGGAAGAAGGGTTCAGATTTCGCCTTGGCACCTTGCCACCTAGCCCCATGCTTCTGAGCATGAACGAAATGACAGTAAGTGTTCTATCTGCTTCATGGGCGCACATGTGTTTTTACAGGCGAATTCATGTGTGTATGTTTAAAGAAATATGAACTATAATATACAGTTTTGACTTTTCAGGGCCATGAAAAATGTGACATCTTGTCATATAAACGTAAAAGAAAATCCCCCAAGTGTAACAACCATTACATACCTAGAAAATTTGTGTGGTCTTTAAGTGATGAAATCATCGATGATTTCACAGAAATACATATTTCTGTGGAAGGGTTGTTCAGTGTTTTCAGTGGTGGATCTTTATTTTCATGTTAATTTGATTGAAGAAGTATGTTTGTGAGAATGCTTCCGGAGAGTATAAATTAAGGGAGGAAGGGCCACTCTAGAGTCAGTGGTCCTGTAGTCTTTAGGTCCATATATAATAAGAAGAGGAAAAGGGGACGCTGGCTGTTTATACACTCTTGTTCCCGCTCTGATTCCTGGTCACTACAATAGGAACTGCTGTCACCTCTCCTCTCCTATGACAGCCTGAAACCTCCAAAACCATGAGCCAAAATAAATAAATCCTGACCCTGATAAATAGTTTACACTGGGTGTTTTGCCGCATTGTGACACATTTTATATAATTTATTTGTATTTATTTTATTTTCATTGTAATTTTTAAGACACTGTCCTATTGTCAGGTTGTGATATTATTTACTATATAGATCCAGGTAACCTTAACTCATGAATAGGCTAAAATTACCTGTGTGCTGAGGTAACAGGAGTATGCCATCATGTCTGGCCACACTTTCATTTTAAAACTAAATGTTTTCCTCTGTGGCCTAACACGACTGCTCCTCCCTTGGGGGGTGGGGAGGCCAAAGAGCCAGTCATTGAGTTCCTGTTAGAAATAGTCCTTGTTCCCCTCACTATGGGAAACCAATTGGTTACTCAGCTACCACAGGCTACATCTGAGCTGAGCTTTGCAGCCAGTCCTGAAGATACCTGATAAAACAGGATCAGATGAATGGGGAGGAGGTTCCCCCTATCAGTGGACTTGGAAAGGGGCACGGTGGAGATGAGGGAGGGAGGGAGGGAGGGACTGGGAGGGAATGAGGGATCGGGACACGGCTGGGATACAGAGTTAATAAAATGTAACTGATAAGAAAAAAATAAAATTCAAAAAAAAAAAAAACAAAACTAAATGTTTTGTGAATTCATCAAAACTTTGGTGATCTCTTAGACTATTCATTATCATAGGAGTGTGTTGAAAATAAAAATGATATTGGGCTATTATTACTTATTATTTGCCCTATAATTATTGTGGCGGTATTATTTAACCTGCTATCACAACTAACAAGACACAGGCATCTGTTACATTTTATAATTGCCTTATATACCTTGGGCTGGGCAGATAGTTCACCATCTATCTCACAGCCCCTCATCCAATGCCGTCTGACTTAACCATTCCTATCTGGGCTACCTTCCATCCATAATCCCAAGATACTTGCTTTTATTTTTTTTCTTGGTGTTTTCTCCATCCACACCATCCTTGAAATCCTTCCTCCAGGCCCACATGGTACCTTCTCCATGCTAACCATCATGGCACCCTCCTTTCTACTCTCTTCCAGTCTGTCTGTTTCCTGTGATTTTTTGAACCCAAAGCCTGTGAACCTAGGCCATGCCTACCCCATTCTGCCCTGCCCAGGTTTTAGGCCTTTAATCAAACAATCAGACATAATGTCTCAGGCAGGTTTACACCATAAAGATAGGTTTATCCAGGCAGTAACCAGATCTTGCGGGCCAGTAATTAGCACCAAAATACACTCATCTGACCAACCCCTGATTTTGGAGGTTAAAGCGAATATCGGTAACCTCAGGCATGCATTTCATGATCGTCAGAAAAAGAAATTGTCCTCAAAGTGCCTTAAAGAATATATTTAAATTTTGCCTGGAAACCAGGTTAATTTATGAAATTGTTTGTTAGTGTTTTCATGCTTTGCACTATTTATTGCACAGGTTGTATTGCATTTAGTATAAAGAAGCTTCTATCTTTCTAGGGACCACAACCCTTTCCACTTAGTACACAGTGTTTCCGAGACACACAAGGTTTCAACTTGAGATGTCTCTTTGATTTCTGCCTACCGGAGTCCAGAGCAGAGAAGCATACAGTGACACTGTGGTGCAGCTTGCCAGTCTACAATAAAGACATCAGGTTCCAGCTGCCCAAATGCTCTCAGCATTCTGCTGTTAGAGGAATTGTAAATTAACTATTGCCTAGTAAACATCTACCCCAAGCTTTGGATTCCAGACATATGATCACCCCGGTTAAGATCCAATTTAGGTTCCAGCATGGCTAGATTCATAACTAGCATCAGAAAAAAAAAAAAAACAAATGATAGCAGCTGACATTTATTGAGCAGGTGTGTGCCAAGCTCGCAAATACTTTCATATTTCATCTCATTTAAACCTCACAGCAGCTTGCTGTTCTGGGTACTACCATTGTTCAGCACTTCAATGTCTAGAAAACTAAGACGGAATGAGCCCAAGTCACACTGAAACAGAATAAGCAAAGGGCTGCCTCAGGATTCCTTACATTGCCAGAGCCTTGTATGTGTCACATACCCCTTTAGTCTGTAGTATAAGTAGGTCTAGGAAACTTCAGCCAATTCACATTCAACATGGAAAAGAAAACATGGTTAATCTCCTACCGAGACCTATTTTTCAGAGATGCTCAAATTTAGACCATATTTTGGTTCTTTTATAACCAGCCTGACAAAACCCTTAGCAGCATGGGTCATTTCATGGTTTTTAGTGAGTTAACTTCGTGTGAAACTGGAATAAATCACTTTTTCTTGTGGTTTTGTCATTTTTTTTTTGCCCCTGGCGTTGGTAAAGATAATATTCATTACAATGATTATTTTTGCTTTTTCTTCCATTGAGGCCCACAATGATCCCAAATAGTTTTGTAAACACTAATCATGAACTTTCCCAAGACTGTTTCCAACATTTCTGTAACTTTTCCACTTCTGTTGATTTTATTCTAGTTTAAAACACATATGATAAAGTTTTCTAAGTGCCACTCAACACCACATACAACAGAACCTTTCATTCTAGCCATATTGGTTCCTGGGTATTTTTTTGCCTAAAAGTTTCTGTGACAATTTATAAGTAAAACATTAATGATTAGTATTTTAAGAGAGTCTAAAATTCCTGGTTGATAAGTAATTCTAAGAAAACAGAAAGAACTATTTAGCTGACCTACAAGAGTTCCATTATCTAATTATGACATAAGGCATGGAAATAGATTCTGACTTTTTGAGCTTAGTAGCTTGAGGGCTAAGTTTCTAAGTGTTAGAATTGTCTCAAATACTAGTCAAGTGGAAGAGAACAGAACTAAAGCAAGTGCTTTTAGGATGGACATAAAATCAGCATGAACTAAATTGAACTGGTAGCTACAGACAGGCTGAAGATACAGCCTTGTGACCATATGATTAATATCCAATAAATGATATCAAACTGATTCAAAGTGCAATAAGAAAGAACAATTTATGCAATTGTATTTCTGAGTAATTTGTATTTGCTCTATTTAGAAATTATTTTCAGCACAAGATGGACTCTATGTAAGAGGGTTATTGCCATACAATCCTGTAGAGGACAAGCTATACATTAGGGAACATATTGATCATGTATTGATCTATATTTGTGCTTGCCAAACCACAATATAGATGCTGGTGTGCTGAGAAAATCCATTTCACCCTAACCCCCAGATTTCTCTCATTTTTGGCCAATTTGCCTAGATGAGTTCTAGGACTCAAAAGTCTTTACTCTTTGTTAGAAAAATGGGTGCTGATCCATCCTTCATTACTGGGTAACCTCTTCTCTTCCTTATTTGGTATCCAGGCTTTTTAAACTGGCTTACGTCACAATTTATCTTTAACAGTCTACTGAATGTTAGAGGAATATCAATCACTGTTATACGGATTTTTTCACAATAAATTCAAAACTATGTTACACTCATGGATTGAGTGCAGCTGAGTCTATCTGCTTAAGATCTGTACAAGGTCAAGCCAGCTCAAAATTCTAGCATGAATGGGGGAAGGGTAAATGAGCTTCCACCCTTAACTGAAGAGCTATTGACAGTTGATGGCTTCTGTGGGAGAGTGTCATTTTTCTTCAAAGCTATTGCCACTGGCTAACTGGCTATGCCTCAGTGGATGGCCATATACCCACGTACATGGACACCATAAATTGGACTTTGTGGGTTATTAAAAAAAAAGATGACAAGAACTTGTGAGGTAACTAGGAATTAGAAGTAGATCTTGGAAGAGGTTGGGAACTGGAAGTAGGTCTTGGAAGAGTGAGGAGGAGGAGTGAGGGATGAATATGATCCAAAATACCTGGTGTGAAATTCTCAAAGAATTGGTAGAAATATTATATTAAAATTAATTTGGAAACACATTAACTGAAAATGAAGCACATTAACTCAAAGATGTGTTTCAACCACATTTTTTTTTATGGGATGTGATTAGCAACAATGAGGAATAAAGTATGTCATCAGTAACGGGCTAGAAAGGCAATTTTGGGACTTTGGGGATGTCCCTCTTGGATGTGAATTCTAAGTGAAGGCAAACAGAAAGCAAGTAAACATATTCCCTTTGGACACAAGCAGAGCCTTAAGCAGAAGTAGAAGGAGCAAAAGGGAGAAGGCAGAGACTGACTTGTCCTCATCAACGAGGCTTCTGGGGTAGTAGACAAACAGGAGAACTTCATCTCAGCTAATGCCAGAGGAAGCTGTGATAAACAGCACATTGTATCTTTCTTCTGAAGATTCAGACTATTCATAGGAATACTGAGGACACTGCAATTTTTATTTCATCAACTTTTTTTTTTAAAGGAAGCATTTACTAAATTTACAACATCAGGGAATATTTTGGTTAGAAAAAAGGTATTAGGTTCCACCCAACGTAATTTAAGGAATGCTAACTTCAGCTAAAATTTTAAAATAAGGGAACTGGAAGGAACGGTTAAATAACCT